ATGCTGCAGTCGCCAGCGCCGAACCCACCGGGGCGAAACACTTGGTTCTTGGACAGCCGTTGCGGCCAACATATGTGTTCTTCCGGGCGCTTCGTGCAACGAGAGCAACGTCTCAACCGCGATGTCATCATCACCATCGCCAACAAACGAAACCCTGAAAACAAACAGACAAGGATTGTTCAGTTGCAGTCCATGGAGACAAACGTTAAACTGCAACTCAACAAAGTTCTCATCGTCGGCAATTTGGGATACAACTTACTCAGCGTCAGCCAGTTAATGGCAAAAGGGATTCACCTGGAATGCGATTCGGACTCCAACGAATTTCGCCTTTTTCACGGGAAGGGCGGTCTTTTCATCGGTCGCGCTCTCCTGAAGTCGGGCGTCTTCGTGTTGGATTTCGTCCTTGACCGCGGTACTGCCGACAGCGATGGCATCGTGTCGTTCGCCGCATGGACGCACCCGCCGGATCTTGACCCCGACTTCACCCAAGATGGAATCTGGTACTCCAACACCATACCTGCAGCAGAGAGAACACGAGCGTTAGCAGTCATTCGACAAGAAAGACAAGTACCAGCAAGCGTCCCTTCCTCGACATCACCTGAAGTAACAGCAGCGGGACCCAGCCGAGTACCATCACCAGCAATCCGAGGACCGCCAACCGAAGCAGATCAACTTATGCCCATCACACGAGAAGTCTGTCGAAGTCCTGCCACGGTCGTCGTGTTCTTCTCCAACGCCGACATGTACCAACGCTCGCCCGGCCATCGCGCCCCCGACGACATCTGGCACCAACGCCTCAAACACCCTGCAAACAGCACAGTACTACAAACCATCCAAGCCGAAGTGTTAGAATGAAACGCTCTTCTTACAACGAGCGGCCAAGAACTTCGACGACCACGCGCACGGTGCTTCACGTGCCCCGAAGCACATCTTCCCTACCAACCTTTCCATCACATCACAACCCAAGCGCACCTGCATACGCACCGATGGAAAAAGTTCACAGCGACATCTTAAACATGCCTCGAGACGACTCAGAAGCCGACTTCAACTATGTCATCACGTTCATCGATGCAGCAACAAGATATGTCTGGCACTACAACCTCAAGACACGCGATCAAGCTTTCGAAGCCTTCACGACGTGGCTCCCCATCGCTGAACGAGAATCAGGAACTAAGCTCAAGAGCTTCCAGTCAGACGGCGCACTGGAATACCAGTCACAACGATTCAGGAACTACTTGGCGGAAAGAGGAATTAGACGCCTGGTGTCTCTGCTCTACGCTCACCAGCAGCAGGGGGTCGTAGAAAGAATGAACCGGACCTTGCAGACGACGATGCAGAAGCTGCTCCTGGGGATGAGACTGCCCAACACACTGTGGCCAGAAGCGATGACCCATGCAGTCCACCTGCACAATTTGCTCTCCTCGTCATCACTTCCCAACAATGCATCACCGCACCTGCTGTGGACACGAAAAAGGGGCAGCACAAAAGTACTTCGGGTTTTCGGCTGCATGGTACAATACAGACCCCACACAGCCCGAGCAGGACGCTTCACTCAACGAGCACGGTGGGGACTACACCTCGGCATCGCCAAACATTTCCAAGCATGGAAAGTCCTCGACATACAAGACAAAAATACCGTGGCATCACGTGATGTGATTTTCTACGAGCGACTGACGCTGCAGCATTACCTGGACAACGTCGCCAACACAGACGACCCCACCAACGGCTTCGCGGGCCTTCGGTCCTTCGCCGACGGCTTCGCGGTCCTTCGCCGACAGTGCCGCCGAAGCTGACGCAGCAGAAGAAGACGCACCTGGAGCTTCGGAACCTGCCGGACCACTCCCTTACTGTTCCGTGCCTGTTCCACTCGACGACGACAATCCTCTTGATAGCAACAACCTCGACACCCATTACCACTTCGCTGACCAAGGTTACGTTACACCTCACCCGGTCGACACGAATGTCAGAACGCATCGGCCCAAACTTCTTACCTGATCCAGAAGATGGTGACGAAGCAGCCTATTCCGGGAATGAAAATTCCCCTCGACACACACCCACGGGACTGCAGATACTCGGCTTATGGGTCTCCGTCCAGCACCCGCCGCCGCCGTCTCCGCGTGAGCCAACGACTCTGTCGCAGGCTCTGGGGGGGGAACATAAGGCGAAATGGAAGGAGGCAATGGAAAAGGAACTGAAAGCTCTACAAGACCGAAATACATGGAAGCTGGTACCTACAACGAACATCAACGGGAAGAATGTACTCTCAGGAAAGTGGGTGTACCGCATCAAGACTAATGCGGACGGCTCCATCGAACGATTCAAGGCTTGATGGGTCGTACGAGGTTTCGATCAACGATACGGAACCGACTACACAGAAACATTCGCCCCAGTCTCTCGTCACACCTCCTTGCGCATTCTACTCGCCGTCGCGGCCACGAAGAAACTACCACTGCGCCAGATCGACGTCGCAAACGCCTTCCTGTACGCACCTGTGGACGCCGAGATCTTCGTCGAGCAGCCCCACGGATTCATCGACGACCCCACAAAAGTATGCCAGCTGATAAAATCCCTTTACGGGATCAAGCAAGCTACGCGGCTTTGGCAGCAGCATCTTCACGGTCGCTTCGTCAGAATCGGGTTCCTACAGCTGCCGCACGACCAAGGCATGTACCGACTACAGAAGGAAAGGTGTTTTATCCTACTCATCGTCTACGTCGATGACCTGGCTCTACATCGGCTTCTACTAACGACATCGCCACCTGGTTCGAAGGGGAGCTGAGAAGTGACTTGACACTTACGGTGTCTAACACCGTGACCCAGTACCTGGGTCTGAACGTCGTCGAAGACAAATCAGCGTTCTACCTATCCGCTGGAAAATACGCAGGCGTTGTCGCGAAGAAATTCGGACTAACACCGACTACAGTCACGACTCCCTACCGCTACGGGAACAACAACGACACCTCCGCAAAACTCCCCATGAAGCAAATCCAGGAGTATCAGCAGAAGCTCGGCTGCCTACTATTCGCAGCAGTAACCTGCCGACCGGACCTATCTTACAGCGCGAGCCAACTGGCGACGCATCTGAAGCAGCCGGAACAAGAAGATCTCGAGGAACTAAATCAGGCACTACTCTACTTCGTCTCTATGCCGACGACCGGACTTACCAACAGTAAAGCAACGACATCGTCCGTACTACTACTCGGATACGTCGACGCCGACCACGCGGGAGACAGGGAAAATCGACGCTCAAGGACGGGCTACATCTACCGACTAGAGCCTATCGGGACTATCTCCTGGCAGTCGAGCAAACAGGAACTAATCGCACTATCTTCGGCTGAAGCAGAATATATCGCCCTCTGCACTGCGACCAAGGAAGGACTTTACCTGCGAGAGTTACTCGAGGAAGCAAAGATTGCAACCCTGCCCGCCTTCTCACTCATCTGCGACAACCAATCTGCGATAAAAAACGCGAACAAGGACGGCTTCACCAACCGAACCAAGCACATCGCCCTGCGGTGTTTCTTCGTCAAAGATGAAATCGCGAAAGGGAGACTTCAACTCAGTTACTGCCCCACGACAGAAATGGCTGCAGACTACGTGACAAAGAAACTGGCGAAAGCAAAGTTCGATTACTGCATGCTACAGACCGGGCAGATAAACGTTACCAAATCCGGACATGGCAACACTCGAGAAACGAAGGGGAGTGTTGGAAATATCTCGAGGACTTAAGCGTTTCTGAAGTGTAATACCACACTCGAGGAAGATCGTAACGGGTACGCGAGTCAACGGAGGCTACACGAGGGGATAGACAAAGAACACGAAAGGACTCGAAGGGTCGCAATCGGAGGTTGCGACTGACCGTTACAACTGCAAGGATGGTAACCGAAGCGAGAATCGAGTCGCTGTGCGACTGGATAACCGCTCTTCAACTGTATTCTACAACTGCTTTACTTTCCTACTTTCTATATATTGTTGTATGCTTGTTCTTTTAATCAATCACTTGTTCTCATATACTAGTACAAGGGTTCAACTACTCAACTTCCGCTGCACTACTCAAAGTCTCCTTTTACAACTGGGACTTAATCTCTGGAAAGATCCTAAGGGCATTTTTCAGCCCAACAGTGTCTTATGGAGTACAACCCATTAGGTTATATTCCCTTGTATGCCCTGTTCTAGACACTCTTTCACTTGAACATGGTATCATGAGTAGGTAGGTCCCCCCCCCCCCCCCCCCCCCCCCCCCCTAGCGCTTCCGCCCTAGGTCCTAGCCGCCTCGTCGCCCCGCGGCCACGTCCCCTAGCGGCCCCGCGGCCCCGTCCCCTAGCGGCCCCGCGCCCCCATCCCCTAGCAGCACCGTGGCCCCGTCCCTAGCGGCCCCGCGGCCCCGTCCCCTAGCGGCCCCGTGGCCAAAGCGTTCTGCCTGGACGTCCGAGATACCCTGTTGGAGGAAGAAGAGAGGGATGCCTCGGAAAGGGTGCGCCGCGATGCGGAAGGGGGGGTGGTGAAGCTACTCGATCCGACGGAGCAGTTCTTGGCAGAACTACAGATCCACTTCCCTACCCAGACGCCGGCAAGACTAAGAGATTGTCACAGGATTGAATGTGTCGAGGAAAGATTGCACTATCGATGAATACAAGGCGCTTTTATACTTACAGAATACATCACGTAACCACGTTTATCCTATCCAAAGGAATAGACCCTTCTAGAAAATAGAATCACCCTGAGTATAGCCACGCGAGGCTACTGGCTTTAAGGGATTACGGCAGGATTACGCTGGATATAGCGTGCCAGTACATCCCGAGCCTAGTCGGTGATATAATTATAATAACAGAATAAACCAAAGGATAAAGGAAAATGGATAATAGGAAACCAAATGAGATGGGATAAAAAGAGAAGTGAAATAGAAAGGAAGTAGGAAAAGAGACAAGTGGTGTAACGGGATCGTACTCTCACACTTCCCCCCCTCAAAGCTGGGTGGTAGCAGTAACACCCTGCTTGACAAGGTAGTCATGCAGAGGACAACGGGCGTTACCCATGTCGGTCTTAGGTACCCAACTGTCCTCAGAAGGATCATAACCTTTCCAACGAATAAGAAGCTCTACGGTGCCATTCCGATGACGGCGGTGTGCAAGCACGGACTCGACCTCGTACTCGGGTTCATTCTGGACGAGGACGGGCGGCGGCGGCGGCGGTTGGCCTCCAACAAAGATTGTGTTTGGATCCTGATAGGGCTTCAGAAATTGGACATGGAAGGCGTTGTGAATCTTCCAAGTAACTGGTAGGCATAAGCAGAAGGTAACAGGAGTGACTTGTGCTTCAACGAGGAAAGGCCCGCAGAAGTGAGGTCGAAGTTTAGATGGGAGATGGCTAATGTTAGGGTTGCGGGTGTCGAGGAGCACCTGGTCTCCCATGGTGATGGTGTGGTCGTTGCGATGGCGACCGGCCTGGCGCTTCTGTTGCTGTTGAATTTCAAGGAGGCGCTTGTGGGTCCGATCCCAAAGCTGAGGCATGGTTGTGATGAAATCGTGTGCAGGTTGGACTGTAGCTGATGCTGTCGCTTTCTGTGGTGTGAGTGGGTGGCGTCCGTAGCAGAGGAAGAACGGCGTCTGTCCAGTAGCGGCATTTGTAGCGTTGTTGTAAGCAAACTCTAGAACGGGCAGGTGCAAGTCCCATTTAGAGATCTCGTCCTTGCAGGCTGCTCGGAGGAGTTGCTCGACAATCTGGTTGAGGCGCTCGGTCTGTCCGTCTGTCTGCGGACGGCAGGCGAATGACATGGCGATTTTGGTCCCGAGTAGAGACATGAGTCCTTTCCAAAACTTGCTGGTGAACTTGGGGTCTCGGTCGGAGATGCGTGTGGTTTGAATGCCATGCTGTGAGATGATGTAACGAACGAAGAGTTGTACTGTCTCCTTGGTGAGTGCTGTCGTGTGTGTCGGGATGAAGTGTCCCATTTTGGAGAACTTGTCGATGACGACGAGGATTGCGTCATGACCGCTGGTGGTAGGTGGTAACCCGGTGATGAAGTCCAGGCTAACCACATGCCATGGCTGTTCTGGGACAGGAAGAGGCTGCAGCAGTCCCGCTTTCCTCTGTTTGCTGCTCTTCATCCTCTGACATGTATCACACGAGGTGACAAATTTATGAACATCCTCTGCCAAGTGGGGCCAGTAATAGTGTTTTGCAATACCGGTCAGCGTCTTGTTGCTACCGAAGTGTCCGGCGTAGAGGACGTCGTGGTATTCTTCGAGTAGTAACTGGCGCAAAGGAGGGTAATTGGGTACCCAGATTTTTGTTGATCCTTTCTGGTACGCGATGTCACTGTCCCACTGTAGCAGGTGTCGCTTTTCAGCCAAGGAAATTTCGGGGTCGATGGCGTACCCGTGTGTGAAGAGCCCCTTGAGGAGTGGATTCATCCCTTCAATCTAAATAGCGGCAACGTGTGCAGGCCGGCTGAGGGCGTCTGCTTTGTTTTTGTGTCCGGGTTTGTACACGATGTCGTAGTGGAAGTGTGTCTCGAGGAAGTCGATCCACCGGACCTGCTGCTTGGAAAGGTTGGGTTGTGTCTTCAAATATTTCAGCCTGCAGTGGTCGGTGTAGACGGTTGTTCTTCGTCCTTCGAGATAACATCTCCATGCTTTGAAGGCGATGACAATGGCAAGGGCCTCATTGTCGTGTATCGGGTAGTTTAGTTCTGCCCCATGTAGTTTTTTACTGAGATAGGCGATTGGTTGCAATCCATTCCCCTGGTCTTGCATCTAGACTGCTCCCACTGCGTGGTCACTGGCATCAGCTTCGATGACGTAGTCGCATACGGGGTCTGGCAAAAAGAGTACGGGTGCGGACGTAAGTGCTCCACCGCTTCCTGGTGCTTCGACTCCCATTTGTAGGGCGTGTTCTTCTTCAGCAGATTCGTGGGTGGTGCTGCGAGTTTTGCATACTGTGGCACGAACCTCTTGTAGTAATTAGCGAAGCCTAGGAACTGCTGCAACTCCTTCACATTCTCGAGTGTCTTCCACGTACGTATGGCTTCGATTTTCTTTGGGTCGACGTGAACTCCTTGAACGCTCACCATGTGTCCTAGGAACTGGACCTTCTCAAGGGCGAATTCGCTCTTGGACAGTTTGACGTAGAATCGTTCTCGTCGAAGAATTTCGAAGACGCGTCGCAGGTGCTCGACGTGCTGCTTCATGTCGCGCGAGTAGATGAGGATGTCGTCCAGGTACACCACCTCGCACTCGTCCAAAAGTGGTCGTAGAATGTGGTTCATTTCGGCTTGGAATGTTGCCGGTGCGTTGGTGAGTCCGAATGGCATTACCCAATACTCGTACGATCCATACCGACTTCGGAAAGCAGTTTTGTGGATAGAGTTGTCTGCCATCCGTATCTGCCAGTATCCGGACCGCAGATCCAATTTGGAAAATATCGTAGCTCCCCGAAGCTGGTCAAGCAGGACATCGATTCGTGGTATCAGATATTTATTCTTGATGGTCTGCTTGTTAAGAGCTCGGTAATCGATGCACATGCGCAAGCTTCCGTCCGGTTTCCGTGTGAAGGGCACTGGGGCACCGTATGGTGAAGTGGATGGTCGGATGAGCCCTTTGGCGAGGATATACTCAATCTGTTTGTTCATGTCGGTCAGTTCCGTAGGGCTGAGCCGGTATGGTGCTCGGAAGGTCGGCTTCGAACCTGGTTCCTCCACGATCTCGTGTTGATGCGTTCGGTACGGCGGGAGCCCGTTCGGAAGATCGTCAGGAAGAATGTCTTGGAACTCTCTCAGCAAATCCTTGATTTTTTCCGGAGGTTCCGAGGTCTTCTCTCCGTCGTTCTCCTCCTCTGTTGCTATCGCCAGGAACCCGGTGTCGGTTCGCTTCACGTCCTTCTCGAATCATGCGAGTGTCTCCACTGGGATATCTCTTGTATTGTCCCAGTTGGGTAGTTGTACTCTCCTTCCATTGTTGTAGATGCTTGCGGTGCGGTTCACCCAGTTGATCTCGGGGTTGAATCTTTTCAGGAAGTCTTGCCCGAAGATTAAGTCAAGCCCTTTGATGTTGGTGATGGGGAGTGCAGGTCTCCAGCGCAGTGGTCCAATTTGTAGGTGTAGCACTGCTTCGCCTTGTACTGGTAACTTGCTGCAATCCACCATCGTTGCAGAGAATCCTGAAGGCTTGTACTCTTCCCGAAGTCGGTCGATTACTGCCTTGTCGCAGACGGTGTGCGATGCTCCACTGTCCACGAGTGCTTGGAGGCATCGTCCTTTACAGATGACCTCGAGCACGAGGGGCAGGCGTTGCTCGGAGTACCCAAAGGTAGTTTCATTGATTGGGTCATAGGGTACATCCCAATATTCCGTACACACCTTTTCGTTGCTATCTACTCCTGGGCTGGCAGCTGGCCGAGGCTGCTTGGAGAACGGCTCTTCTCCAAGGCCCGGAGTTTCCTTGACGACCGTGTGCGTCGTTGATGCCGAAGTTGCTGAAATGGATGTATCCAGAGGAGGAGTTCGGGGTTTCTGCAGCTTCTTGTAGACCCCCAGCTTCCTCTTGAGCTGCTTCAGCTCCACTGACGTCTTCCCTGGGGAACGGGTAGTCGTTGTGGGTTGGTGTCGGGAGAGGACGTTGACTCCGTGGAAAGGTCGGCTTCTTTCCACACTCCTTCATTTTTTCCCCAAGTTGTCCGGTACCGGTATAATCTCCACAGCTGTCTGCTTCTTTTGGAGTCCCTCCCGAAATTTCTCCAAGGCTCTAGCCCCTCGAGAATTACAAGTTTTCATTAAAGCATCTTTATAAGATAACTTTAACGAATCCTTATAATTTCTTGGGTCTTCAAGGAGTTTCCCCGTCTCGGCAGAGTCTTTTTTCGCGGAATCGTATTTTTTCGCGGCGATTTTCCCTGGCAAAGACTGGTCGTGGGGTGGAGATTTTCCCCCATCATTCCCTCTTTCTCGCGTCGAATCAGCTTCGTCAAAGTTGATTTTCCCGGAATCCCGCGGCCGCTTCCGGATCTTTTTATTTTCGCCAGCTAGATCCGCAATCACTGGCGACTCCCGTTTTTTGTCTTCTGATTGGCCGAAGGATTTCCGCCACTGTTGCGTGCCCGATACTCTGCGCGTGCGGCTTTCATTTTATTGCAGTCAAAAGGCAGGTTTTCCCGCTGCTGCTGCTTTGTTGAGCGCGGCTTAGCGAGAAAGGCTCTGATACCAAGTGTCATATGATCGAATGACTCGAGGAAAGATTGCACTATCGATCAGTACAAGGTGTTTTTATACTTCCAGAGTACATCAGGTAACCAGGTTTATCTTATCCTAAGGGAATAGACCCTTCTAGAAGATAGAATCACCCTGCGTATAGCCACGCGAGGCTATTGGCTGTAAGGGATTACGGCAAGATTACGCTAGATAGAGCGCACGAATACATCCCAAGCCTGGTCGGTGATATAATTATAATAGCAGGATAAACCAAAGGTTAATGGAAAAGGGAGAAGAGGAAACCAAATGAGATGAGATAAAAAGAGAAATGAAATAGGAACGAAATAAGGAAAGGCCAAGTGGTGTAACGGGGTCGTACTCTCACAGCGCTGCCTGCAGTGAGGCTCAGCTTAGTGTGTTTCAGCCCCCCATCTACTCTACCCTCTACCTGCTTGCCACCCGCCTCCCTGACCGCCTTGCCACCCCCCGCGATCACTCCCTTAGTCTCCGCCCCGCTGACCTCACCCTCATTGACTTTGTCGACACCCTGTCTGCCGTAGAGACCCGTCAACGCTCTATCGCCCAGTCTAGCGGTACCCGTGCCAGTCTCTATCTTTCAGGGCTATGCCCCTGCTCAGTGCTCTTACTCTGATGGTTCTGCTGCAATTGTTGAGACAGCTCCGGCTATGGAGACAGCTGCCGCAGTGCAGTTTCGTCCGGGTAAGGGTCGCCGCCCCAAGGCTGGCCGCGGCAGAGGTAGCGGAGGAGGGGGTGGTGCCGGTGGTGGAGGTGGCTCGCCCGCTGGTAGTACTGACGAGGGGGCTGGGGCTGGTGCCTCGGAGCAGCAGCCCCAGCAGCAGCAGCAAGCTTCGCAGCTGGACCAGCAGCAGCAGCAGGCGCAACAGCAGCAGTAGCAGCAGCAGCAGCAGTGGAGGGTCGGCTGTCTCCCGCCCGAGTGGCCTGGAGCTAGAGGTGACGGTGGTCGCAGTGGTCGCTCGCGCGGCGTGTTTTCGAGTGGTAGTCAAAGTGACGGGCGTTGCTAGTACCAGCTCCATACCGGTCCTCGCCGCGGCCTCGTGTGCGGTAAGATCGGTCATACCCTCACTCGTTGCTTTCGTCGCCTAGACGACCTGTTTCGTCTTCGCTTCGGCCCGTCGCCTGACCTCCCTGACTGGCACAATCTGCTCCGTCCTCGTGTTCAGATCTTTGATATGGACATGGATGAAATTAGCTCTGCTTTGTATGCGCTGTATATAGATGATTCTAATGTGACTGGTTCCTATTACCCTGTGTTGCCTAGCATAGGTGTGCCCAATGCGCCTAGTTCAGGCTCCCCTGTTGCGTCAGGCGTAGGATGACCAGCCTTGTTTAGCCAAGGGTCCTCCCTCGCTCCTCCGACCTTTGTCGCCGCTGCGCTCTCCTTCACTCTGGACTCCGGCGCTTCGCGGTGTTTCTTTTGCGACTCCACGACGCTTACGCCGCTTGCCGCTCCTACTGCAGTTGTTCTTGCAGACCCTTCCTCCGGTCCTGTAGTTGCCCGTAGCTCCACTACTCTCCCCTGTCCGGCGGTTCCCTCAGGCTCCCTTACAGGCCTGCACATCCCCTCGTTCTCTAGGAACTGAGTTGGTGTCGACTGCCTCCATGACCTTGGCGTCACCACTACGTTCCCTGGGCACGAGCGGTTCGCTGTCTGTATTGAGGCCGCCACTAGTGCCCCCCTCACCACGTTCCCCTGGGACTAGGTGTCTGGCCTGTTCACGCTGGACACTGCTTCCCCCACGGTTGGGACGCCTCCCCAGGTACCTGCGTCTTCCCAGGTTGCCGCAGCGTGCTTGTGTCGGTCGTTTACTCACCCGTCACTTCTGTGCCACCACCGTCTAGGTCACCCCGCCCTTACCCGTCTCCGTCACATGTCCCAGCACCGTCTTGTCCTAGGCCTCCTTAAGTCGTTCCCTGCGCTCCCCTCCTCACACACGCCTCCGTGCACGCCCTGTGTTGAGGGTTGACTCCGCCGTGCCCCTCACTCCTCCTCGTTCCCCCCTACCTTCGCACCGCTGCAGACCCTGCACATGGACGTATGGGGCCCCGCCCCCGTCCATGGGCCGCGCCGCGAGCGCTACTTCCTAGTGCTTGTCGACGAATACACCTGCTACACCACCGTCCTTCCCCTCGAGCGGAAGGCCGACGTGCCTGATGTTCTTCTCTTGAAGCTTGTCTCTACACGTGTTCACCGAAGTCTCCCCGTCTTGCGTCTTCACTCCGACCGTGATGGCGAGTTCACCTCTGGCTGCCTTGGTCGCTTCTGTCGTGCGGAGGGCATCATCCAGACGTTCATCTTGCCGGACTCGCCATAGCAGAATGGGGTCGCTGAGCGACGCATCGATTTGGTCATGGAGGTGGCTCGTACCTCCATGATCCATGCCCGTGCACCCCACTTTCTGTGGCCGTTCGCTGTTCGCTACGCCACTCACCAGCTTAACCTCTGGCCGCACCCTCAGCGGTCGCAGGTTTTGCCGACCCTCCTCTGGACCGGGTCCCCTGGTGACGTGTCTGCGTTCCACGTTTGGGGCTGCCTTGCACACGTTCGTTGTCACAGGATCGAATGACTCGAGGAAAGATTGCACTATCGATCAGTACAAGGCACTTTTATACTTCTAGAGTACATCAGGTAACCAGGTTTATCTTATCCTAAGAGAATAGACCCTTCTAGAAAATAGAATCACCCTGCGTATAGCCACGCAAGACTATTGGCTTTAGGGGATTAAGGCAGGATTACGCTAGATATAGCGCACCAGTACATCCCAAGCCTGGTCGGTGATATAATTATAATAGCAGGATAAACCAAAGGTAAATGGGAAAGAGAAAAGAGGAAACCAAATGAGATGGGATAAAGAGAGAAATGAAATAGAAAGGAAATAAGAAAAGGCCAAGTGGTGTAACGGGGTCGTACTCTCACACTTCCCCCCCTCAAAGCTGGGTGGTAGAAGTAACACCCTGCTTGACAAGGTAGTCATGCAGAGGACGACGGGCGTTACCCATGTCGGACTCAGGTACCCATCTGTCCTCAGAAGGATCATAACCCTTCCAACGGATGAGAAGCTCCACGGTGCCATTTCGACGACGGCGGTGTGCAAGCACGGACTCGACCTCGTACTCGGGTTCATTCTGGACGAGGACGGGCGGTGGCGGCGGCGGTTGGCGTCCGACGAAGATCGTGTTCGGATCCCGATAGGGCTTCAGAAGTTGGACATGGAAGGCGTTGTGAATCTTCCAGGTAGCTGGTAGGCGTAAGCGGAAGGTAACTGGAGTAACCTGTGCTTCAACGAGAAAAGGCCCGCAGAAGCAAGGTCGAAGTTTAGATGGGAGGTGGCTGATGTCCAGGTTGCGGGTGTCAAGAAGCACCTGGTCTCCCACCGTGATGGTGTGGTCGTTGCGATGGCGATCGGCCTGGCGCTTCTGTTGCTGTTGAATGTCGAGGAGGCGCTTGTGGGTCCGATCCCAAAGTTGGTGCATGGTGGTGATGAAATCATGTGCAAGTTGGACCGTAGCGGATGTTGGCAGTTTTTGTGGTGTGAGTGGGTGGCGTCCGTAGCAGAGGAAGAACGGCGTCTGTCCAGTAGCGGCATGTGTAGCATTATTGTAAGCAAACTCTAGTACGGGCAGGTGCAAGTCCCATTTGGAGATCTCGTCTTTGCAGGCTGCTCGGAGGAGTTGCTCGACAATCTGGTTGAGGCGCTCGGTCTGTCCGTCTGTCTGCGGATGGTAAGCGGATGACATGGCGAGTTTGGTCCCAAGTAGAGACATAAGTTCCTTCCAAAACTTGCTGGTGAACTTGGAGTCTCGGTCGGAGATAAGTGTGGTTGGAATGCCATGCTGTGAGATGATGTATCGAACGAATAGTTGTGCTGTCTCCTCGGTGTCGTGCTGTCGTGTGTGTCGGGATGAAGTGTCCCATTTTGGAGAACTTGTCGATGACGACAAGGATTGCGTCATGACCGCTGGTGGTAGGTGGTAACCCGGTGATGAAGTCCAGGCTAACCACATGCCATGGCTGTTCTGGGACAGGAAGAGGCTGCAGTAGTCCCGCCTTTTTCTGCTTGCTGCTCTTCATCCGCTGACATGTATCACACGAGGTGACAAACTTCTGAACACCTTCTGCCAAGTGGGGCCAGTAGTAGTGCTTTGCGATATCGGTCAGCGTCTTGTTGCTACCGAAGTGTCCGGCGTAGAGGACGTCGTGGTATTCTTCGAGTAGTAACTGGCGCAAAGGAGGGTAATTTGATACCCAGATCTTCATTGATCCTTTCCGGTACGCGATGTCGTTATCCCATTGTAGTAGATGTCGCTTTTCTGCTAAGGGAATTTTGGGGTCGGTGGCGTACCCGTGTGTGAAGAGTCCCCTGAATAGTGGATTCATCCCTTCGATCTGAATAGCAGCAACGTGTGCAGGCCGGCTGAGAGCGTCTGCTTTGTTTTTGTGGCCAGGCTTGTACACGATGTCGTAGTGGAAGTCTGTCTCGAGGAAGTCGATCCACCGGACCTGCCGCCTGGAAAGGTTGGGTTGTGTCTTCAAGTATTTCAGGCTGCAGTGGTCGGTGTAGACGGTTGTTCTTCGTCCTTCGAGATAACGTCTCCACGCTTTGTAGGCGATGATGATGGCAAGGGCCTCATTGTCGTGTATCGGGTAGTTGAGTTCTGCCCCGTGTAGTTTCTTACTCAGGTAAGCGATTGGTTGCAATCCATTCCCTTGGTCTTGCATTAAGACTGCTCCCACTGCCTGGTCGCTGGAGTGAGCTTCGATGACGTAGTCGCGTTCGGGATCTGGCAAGATGAGTACTGGTGCGGACGTAAGTGCTTGCTTCAGCTGCTCCATGGCTTCTTGGTGCTTTGGCTCCCATTTGTAGGGTGTGTTCTTTTTCAGCAGATTCGTGAGTGGCGCTGCGATTTTCGCATACTGTGGCACGAACCTGTTGTAGTAATTGGCGAAGCCTAGGAACTGCTGCAACTCCTTCACGTTCTCGAGTGTCTTCCACATATGTACGGCTTCGATTTTCTTGGGGTTGACGTGAACTCCTTGAGCGCTCACCAAGTGTCCTAGGAACTGGACCTTCTCAAGGGCGAATTCGCTCTTGGACAGTTTGACGTAGAATTGTTCTCGACGAAGAATTTCGAAGACGCGTCGCAGGTGTTTCACGTATTGCTTCATGTCGCGTGAGTAGATGAGGATGTCGTCCAGTTACAACACCACGCATTCGTCCAAAAGTGGTCGTAGTAGGTGGTTCATTTCGGCTTGGAACGTTGCCGGTGCGTTGGTGAGTCCGAACGGCATTACCATATACTCGTACGATCCGTACCGAGTTCGGAAAGCAGTTTTGTGGATAGAGTTGTCCGCCATCCGTATCTGCCAGTATCCGGATCGCAGATCCAGTTTGGAAAATACCGTAGCTCCCCAAAGCTGGTCAAGCAGGTCATCGATTCGCGGTATCGGAAATTTATTTTTGATGGTCTGCTTGTTAAGAGCTCGGTAGTCGAAGCACATGCGCAGGCTTCCGTCTAGTTTCGGTGTGAAGAGCACTGGGGCACCGTATGGCGAAGTAGATGTCGGATGAGTCCTTTGGCTAGGAGATACTCGATCTGTTTTTTCATGTCAGTCAGCTCCGTAGGACTGAGCCGATATGGTGCTCGGAAGGTCGGCTTCGAACCCGGTTCCTCCACGATCTCGTGTTGATGTGTGCGGTATGGCGGCAGCTCGTTCGGAAAATCGTCAGGAAGAATGTCTTGGAACTCCTTCAGCAATTCCTTGATTTTTTTCCAGAGGTTCCGAGGTCTTCTCTCCGTCGTTCTCCACCTCTGTTGCTATCGCCAGGATCCCGGTGTCGGTTCGCTTCATGTCCTTCTCGAATCGTGCGAGTGTCTCTACTGGGATATCTCCTGTATCGTCCCAGTTGGGTAGCTATACTCTCCGTCCATTGTTGTAGATACTTGCAGTGCGGTTCACCCAGTTGATCTCGGGGTTGAATCTTTTTAGGAAGTCTCGCCCGAAGATCAAGTCAAGGCCTTTAATGTTGGTGATGGGGGGTGCAGGTCTCCAGCGCAGTGGTCCAATTTGTAGGTGTAACACTGCTTCGCCATGTACTGGTAACTTGCTTCCATCCACCATTGTTGCAGAGAATCTTGAAGGCTTGTACTCTTCCCGCAGTCGGTCGATTACTGCCTTGTCGCAGACGGTGTGTGATGCTCTGCTGTCCACGAGTGCTTGGAGGCGTCGTCCTTTGCAGATGACCTCGAGCACGAGGGGCAGGCGTTCCTTGGAGTACCCAAAAATAGTTTCATTGATTGGGTCATAGGGTACATCCCAATATTCCGTACACACTTGTGTGTTGCTATCTACTCCTGAGCTGGCAGCTGGCCGAGACTTCCCGAATTTTCTCCAAGGCGCTAGCCCCTCGAAAATCATAAGTTTTCATTAAAGCATCCTTATAAGATAACTTTAATTTCTTACATCTTTAACGAATCCTTATAATTTCTTGGGTCTTCAAGGAGTTTCCCCGTCTCGGCTGAGTCTTTTTTCGCGGAGTCGTATTTTTCCTCGGCGATTTTCCCTGGCGAAGACTGGTCGTGGGGTGGAGATTTTTCCCCATCATTTCCTCCTTCTCGCGTCGAATCAGCTTTGTCGAAGTTGATTTTCCCGGAATCCCGCGGCCGCTTCCGGATCTTTTTATTTTCGCCAGCTAGATCCGCAATCACTGGGGACTCCCGTTTTTTGGCTTCTGATTGGCCGAAGGATTTCCGCCACTGTTGCGTGCCCGATACTCTGCGCGTGTGGCCTTCATTTTGTTGCAGTCGAAGATTCGATGACCCGGCACCCCGCAAAAATCACACGTGTAGTTGGTGTTTTTCGGACGTGGCCGCCCTTCGAACCTGTCGACTTCCATCAGGTCGGCGAACGTGGGGTGAGCCGAGCGGTCGCCCTGTCGCGTACTGCCGACGTTCGTCCGTCGTGTCCCGGCGTTGACCATGTCGAAGCGCTCCGCTGCCGAAACAACGTCACTGTAGTTTGCGTAGTTTGACGCTGCTACCTGTCGTTTCACTTCGGTCTTCAGCCCGGCGAGGTACGACTGTACTTTTTCCCCTTCTGTCAGGTCGGGAATTCGGTTATAAAATTCCTCCATCTGCTGCGTGTACTGCGCTACACTCCCGAACTGTCGGTGTCGATGAATTTTTTCCCGGGCAAGGAAACTGGAATTTATCGGCTCGAAGCGTTTCAACAGGTCGGCGCGGAACTGCTGCCACGTGGCTTCACCGTGGATGAAGGTATTGTTGCCGCCAATCTAGTCGAGTTCCGGCCCTCGCATCAGTGTCTCCGCGAATCGTACACGTTGTCCGTCCCAGACTGGCGAGCTCCATCCGACGGCTGCGAAGTAGATCTCCATCCCGGCGATCCATCTGCGGGCGTCGGAGATTCGATCGCTCGGATCGAACGGCTCAGGTGGGCGCGGTTTCGGAGCCTCGAGAAACTGCTGCGACTGCTGCGTCGTCGCCGTTGTCGTTTCGTGTTGCGCTCCGGCGAGTCGAGTTACTCGCTCGAACTCGTTTCGCCACGCTTCGCGATCCGCTCGCATTTCCTCATGAAGGGTTGCGATGCGCGCGAAGAGCTGCTGTGTAACCTCGGCGTTGTCGAAGGTTGCCATCTTGTTCAAAACACGCACGGAGCGGGTAATTCGAAAATCGCGGAGCTGGTGCTTACCAGAATCGGCGTCGAATTGGTCGCCCACGGCGGTTTTTCGAGGCAGGTTTTCCCGCTGCTGCTGCTTTGTTGAGCGCGGCCGAGTGAGAAAAGCTCTGATTACCAAGTGTCACAGGATCGAATGACTCGAGGAAAGATTGCACTATCGATCAGTACAAGGCGCTTTTATACTTCCAGAGTACATCAGCTAACCAGGTTTATCTTATCCTAGGGGAATAGACCCTTTTAGAAAATAGAATCACCCTGCGTATAGCCACGCGAGACTATTGGCTTTAAGGGATTACGGCAGGATTACGCTAGATATAGCGCACCAGTACATCCCAAGCCTGGTCGGTGATATAATTATAATAGCGGGATAAACCAAACGTAAATGGGAAAGAGAAAAGAGGAAACCAAATGAGATGGGATAGAGAGAGAAATGAAAAAGAAAGGAAATAAGAAAAGGCCAAGTGGTGTAACGGGGTCGTACTCTCACATTCGTGCCTCTGGCACGGACAAGCTCACTGCCCGCACTGTCCCCTGTGTCTTCCTAGGTTTCCCCCGCCACTCGTCGGACTGGCAGTTCTACCACCCGCCTTCTCACCAGTTCTTTCACTCTCGTGACGACACTTTTGACGAGTCCGTCTCCTCCTACCACCGCTTTCCCCAGGGTGGTCCCTCGATCACCCCCCCCAAGTTCCTGGTGCCCCCCCCTCCCCCGGTCGACCCTGTCCACCCCCCTCCCCACCCTGCCCCGTCTGGTGTGTCTCACGTCACCCCCTTCCTGTCGGTTGTCCCTGCTGAGGAGTCCGCTGACACTCGCGGCTCGGCGGAGTCTCTTCCCCCGCCTGTCCTTGCCCCGGTCTCGCCTCCCCTGTCGCCGCCGCTGTTGTCCCTGCCGCAGGCGCCTCCGCCGTTGCCGCCGCAGCCGCAGCCGCAGTCTTCACCGCCGCTGGGGGGTGCTGGGGAGCGGGTTGGAGCTGGTTCTGGAGCGGGCTCTGGGGGTGCTGGCGTGGGGCTTCTAGGAGGGAGCCGTGTTATCGCTGGAGGTTCTGGTGTTGGAGTTAGGCACCAGTCGCAGCTGTCGCCGCCGGTGTCCGCTCTTCCCCTGACCGCCTGACGCTGCCTCCCCCGCTGCCGCCGCCTCCTCCTCTGCCGGTCCACGGCCCCGTGTTTCCTCCCCCAGACTCCTCTCTGGCTCGTTTCCCCCCCCCGTTCTCCTCCTGTGTCTCCTCCCCTCTCTCCTGACCCGACTCCTCCGTCTCACGTCTGATCTCATCGTCCGTCTCGTGCTCCTCCTACATCCCCTGTTTCGCGTTCTCACCCTATGTTCCTGTGCTCTCACGCGTCTTGTGCTCTTCCTCTCCTTCCGTCTCCTCCTCCGTTGTCGCTTGCTGTGGCCGCGTCTCCGTTCTCAAACTTCCTCCGTGCTGCGCGTCCCCTTGTTCCTCGTGTCCCCTTACGCCTCTCTTGTTACCGACCTGTCCGTTCGTGTCTCGAGTCTGTCGGCTCTTGTCGCTGCTGTCACTAACTTTGCCGCTACCCACCGCCTTGACTACGCTACCGCTCTGGTCTCTGATCCTGCCTGCCCTCTGACCGTCGGGAGTGTGGTTGCTCTTGCTAGTGACGTCCTTGAAGACAGGCAGTTCGAGCTCGCTTTCTTGTCTGAGGCCGCTCCCCATCTCTGTTCCATGCTGCTAGTCCCTGAGGGTGACCCAGATGCCCTCGACATCCCGACCCCTCGCACCTACGCTGAGGCCACCTCGGAACCCTGGGCTTCTCAGTGGATAGCTGCCATGGAACAAGTGATGGCATCTTGGAGATCCACCGGTACCTTCGTCGACGCAGTTCCCCCACCTGGGGTGAACGTAGTCGATGGCCGGTGGCACTTCAAGGCGAAGTGCCCTCCTGGAGAGCCACGTGTCTTCAAGGCGTGCTACGTAGCTCGAGCCTTCAGTCAGCGTGAGGGGGTGGACTTCTTTCAGACCTTAGCCGCGACCCCAAAAGATGACCGCTCTTCGGGCGCTGCTACACGTAGTTGCATAGCGTGACTACGAGCTCCACTCCCTCGACTTCTCCATAGCTTTCCACCACGGCAGTCTATACGAGCAGGACTACCTGAGCCGCCCCCAGGGCTTCTCAGGTACCTTCCCTCCTGACACCGACTAACCCCGTTTATGGCTTGCAACAGGCGCCCCGTGAGTGGCACGACACGCTGCGTGCTACACTTGCTGACTTGCAGTTCTTCCCTTTGTCTGCAGACCCCTCGCTCTTTGTCCGTTCCGGCTAGACTTCGTTCTACATCCTTGTCTACGTAGACGATCTGGTCTATGCAACAGCAGACAGAGACGCACTGGCCGCCGTGAAGGCCAAGCTGCTGAGGAGACACACCTGCACTGACCAAGGAGAGCTGTGCCGCTACCTTGGCTTGCAGATCTCCAGGGACAGAGCAGCGCGCTCAGTCACTCTCTCACATTCACACTTGCTGCGC